TTGACATTGACAAGTATGTTAAATTCACTAATAATATTTTAAATAAAGTATATTATAACAAATTCTTCAAATATATATTCTTCTTTTGGAAATGCTATGGAAAAACTACTGATGTAAAAATCGACAATACCTACTAGTTTTCCATTATATTGCACGCATACGCCGGCACAATATTTTGTATTTTATTATTGGCGCATCGGTTTATGGCAAATATAATAACGATCAAACACACGATACAAATACAATAAACAGATACCACAACCCAGTTTAATATATCATAAAAATGTATCATCCATTTGAGCCAGCCAGTATATTTCTCTTAGTGTATCATTAATGTTGCGCAAATAACTTCTAAATAGTTTTATAGCTCTTACTCAATTAGCTTTACAGCTGACGCTATTTTGTGTATAATGAACTTTGCATTTAAATAATTGTTTTAGAGTTAATTAATCTAAAAGTTTGCGAAATGATGAAGATATAACGTCTATTTGAATATTAAATAAAATTTGACATACTTTCAATAACATTGTATGCATAACACTCTTGTAAAGTGCAAGTCGAAGTTGTTCACGGAGAGATTTTTGTACAAATACTTATATAATAATTTTACTTTTTTATACTGTTTATGACGTAGCTTAAAACTTATTTCTTTCTTCTCGACGAAGAATTTTATTGTATTTTTTTAACTGAACTTTATAACTTTTACATACTTATATGTTGTGAGATCTGTTATGGCAAGTGTAAGGAATGTGAATAAGGCCAATTGATTCTACGCAGTTATTTTTCTTTGTTTTTTAGATATGAATAACAACAAGTAAAATTTTCCTTTATTTTCATGTGCGATTTGGTAATTTTATTTAACCATAATTAAATTAATTTATGTATATGGTGACAATGTTTCCAAAGCACCTCACATGTAAATCCATCTATACCGATATGTCATTTTTATTTATTTTATGGTCTTTAGAAATGTTTTTAGATTACAATATTGTACGATTATGATATTCTTATTTAAAAACTTTTTAAAAGTTTAAGGTATGATAAATAATACTCAAATTTTTTATTTATTTTGTGGATTTCAGAATTGTTTTTAGATCATATCATAGCATGATTTAACAAATTGCGATAAACTATACTAACCTTTTGAGAGATTTTTGATAATCTAAGGTTTGATTTAAGTATATAAACCAAGAATTTTTTAAATTTTTGTGGTAATACTTTTTGGTAGAAAATTATGTTCCTTTCAATAAAAGGGGAGATTGAGTACGGTTGTGCCGCTTTCTTTAGGTCCGCAATAATTTTGTTAATTTACCAGTTAGCTTGTAGGAAAATAAATCAAATGTGAAAATGTAATACGTCTACAAGGAAGTACTGAAATACTGTCCTTAAATACGATGGATTAGTCATAAAATCAAAACATATAAGAAAAGGGCGCGTGTCATAACCGTCATAGAGAAATAAAATTAGAAAAAAACAATAGCTATAAACACCAAAATTGTTTATAGCAACTTTTATTGGCAGAAATATGTAACACAATACAACATAATCGTTTAAACAAAACTTGTGAATATAATATAACAATACATAACAAAATTTAATTTTTTAAACAAGAAATCTCTGTGAAATCTTTTGTTTTCTTGTATTGAATTTTTCTTTCTTTTACTCTTTCGTATTTTGTCTTAGTTAGATTTTTCTTTATCTGTTTGAATTTTTACCCAAAAAAGCATATCACATAAAACATATCTAATTGCTGGTTATTAACTACTAATGCCAACTTACAGCAAAATAAAAAAAAGTAATTTATCTGTATACAAGTAACAGGTATTAAAGTAAAGTAAAAACTTACTTTTGACTCTTTAAAACTGTACTTTGACTCTATAGATCATGATAAAGTAGAGCACTAACTCAATGCAATATTGTAAACTTGTTCGAAGAAACATACATATATTTTTTTCTTTGAGAGCCCTATGTCAAAATCAGTTTAACTGTTATGACGACTGTCACTACCGTACCCTGGCACAATCGTACCCAATCTCCTCTACAATTTTGAAAATAACTATAATCAATTAACTTATTTAGGTATTATTAAAAATACAAGGTATGATTTAAGTACGGACCCCAAAAATTTTATAAAAAGTACCTTCTGAAAATAGGAGACACTATATCATACAAGTTAATATCTAGATCATATTGTATTTATTTCTATGCGATAAACCTACTCTAGTGGAACAATATTATGGAAAGTGTTTCTTTATTATTATTATTTTTTATTATTAATAAGTTTTATAATCATATAAATACAATTTTGAGACTAAACATACCCAATTCTTAATTCTGATTCTGAAAACACATTACAGAATTAAAATTCTGTTGAATAAAGAGAACATGATTCAGCGTTTTTGTAAATTGCTACTGTTCGTTTTCTATTTCTCAGTCTACATTAAATGGATACATGGCACAAATATATTTTGCAAAGTTATAAACATTTTATTATTATAAACTTCTAGTTCATATGCAATGTAAATTTTCAATAAACTAATTATAAGTCTATTTTATTTGAACAATAATATTTACTCCAGTTTTTTTTAAGAGCATAAAACTAATATTATGTTTTTTTGAATAGTTTGAAAATAGCTCTTCTGTTAATGATTCAAAAATTCAAAATTTTGGATTCAAAAATCTTACATATAACACACCTCTAGATGTAATGTGTGTTCACTTATAATAAGATATCAGTCGAAGTTGAAATATAGCATTTAATCTATTTAAATTGTAACAAAGTTTAGTAATTTTTTTTTTAATTCTAAAATCTTACAAATAAGACACAACTAGATGTGATGTGTGTTCAATTATAATAAGATATCTAAGTTGAAATATAGCATTTTATCTATATAAATCGTAACTAATTCCAGTAAATAATCGATTCGAATTGTTATTAGAAACTTATTTTTATAAGCCTTCTTATTGATCTCCTTCTACGCCGTTAATTAAAGAATTTGTATTTGGTACTATCAACTTGTGCTTTTATTTAATATTATTTTACGTTTTTATCTCAAACAATTGCAATTTTCTTACTTTATAATAATAAATTGAAATATTAAACTATAATTTAAATATCAACTAAAAATTTAATACATGAACTAAAAATTTTACTATTATCTACACAAGTCAATATCAGCTTTCCAAACAAATAATGATTCTGCTACTTAAATTTGAAATCCACTGTAGAAACTAAGAATTTAATCAACTGATTAAGTTCTTATTACATTAGGTATGTTATGAATTACTTTCGCAAAATTTTGTTTGTTTGTTTCAATGTGCGTTTCTCCACAATTGTATGTAACATACGCCCGCATCAAATTTCTTCGTCTAACAGTTTAAGTGCCCTAACAAAAGCAGACACCTAATATATTATGCGTACTATATATATGGGGTATTAAGGACTCAAACAGTATATGTAAATGCAGGAAATTCGCGGCATTATAAATCCTTATATGGCCCAAGGTGCTCATTACGGCAGTTGAAGTTTTCGGAAAATCATAAGCGGTCGGGAAAACTCCTAAGTAGGGAGTTGCGGAAAGCTGATGAAAATTCTTCAACGAATTAGTAGGCGTAGCCGCTAAGCCTTATCTTTGGTTAATTTGGAAAGACTTAGCTGAATATAAAATAAGTACTTATATGTTCAGGAACATGATTACTTTTTGTAATCATGGCAGTTTGTACTTTATTTCTTCCTTCTTCTCTATAAAATATTTTTGCTCTATATATATACACACACGCATATATATATATATATATATATATATATATATATATATATATATTCAATTAAATAATACTAAATGAAAAATATTACACAGGCATTTATCCAATTTTTAAAAAAAAACTGATATATTTAAACTATTCAACAAGTCCTCTTTACCTTACAACATTATTTGAAAAACACAAAAACAAAAAACAATGAAATGAAAGGCTAGTATAATAGTCATATTATAAAATATGGTAGGGTAGAGCGGAGCTTGAAGATCTTCTGCTAAAAAGGTCCACCACCAATATGTCAAAAACAAGTAAAGTTGAGACTTTTTTACCAATGATATTTAAAAGTAGAGGGCAAAAGGTATTCATGTGCATATGTTTTTTAAACCCGAATTTAAGCATAATTCCCGAATTTCCACAAGTGGTATTATTTGCAGAAAAAGTGTTTAATTTAAAACCGCTAGAATAGATTATGTAAGGCACAATCATTGAAGCCAAGTCGGGCGTGAAAGATTCGTGAAAGCGTCAAAAGTGTTTCGTAAGTGTCATTCACAGCGACCTGATACCAAATAGTATAATTTTCAGCTATGACTAATGAAAATCAATGGGCTCAATGTATTGAAACTAAACAAAATGAATTATAAAATAGGATGTTTTAAGGATGTTGCAGCATGGCAACATTAATCCATATTTCGTTTTGCCTAATATATTTCCATTGGTTCTTCTTTAAAAACAATGTTTGTAAAAACATCATATCAATTTTACAGATCCTCATATCTAAATAAGAGTTTATACAAAGTTGAAATAAAATTAAAGACTATAAAGCAATAAATTCATAGTGCATGTATACGCGCAGTTACAAATTTCGTTTTCCAATAATAAGATCTTCTAGAGTTGTACGAGTTCTAGTTTGTGAATATCTCTAAGAATATAGAATTCTATACATTGGCAGACAATAACCTATTACACAGCAATACAGCGTGACATTGTCATCTGTACGTGCTCAAAACTTATCGCCGTAATACACTTTGTAATTTATACGCAACTTTTGTTACGCTCTATCGATCGCGAGACGAAATCGAACCTCGTCTTACAAATCGATAAAAAAATGCACCAGTTCTGAATCGGAAAAAAAATCAGACCAAAATATATAAATACCGTCAGTTTCCAGGTTGAACGCACTGACAATCGAGCAGCGCTCGATAGTACTACCATAGTTCCAGTTTTATAGTGAGTGATAAAAAATGGTGAAAATAGCTTTAAGCTTGCTGGCTGTGGCCATGTGCGCGATAGCTTGGTCTCAAGCTAGGTCCGTTTCTGAAGATGATTTGGAAACGGCTGCTAGCGAACATTGGAAAAAGGGTGGCGGAAAAGAACATCATTCCGATGAACACTCTAATCACGGAGAAAAGGGTGATAAAGGATACAAAGGCGAGCACCATCACCACAAAGGTGAAAAGGGACATCACGATAAAGAAGGACACAAAGGTCATTACGAAGAAGAAGGTGGCCACAAGAAAAGCCACCATGATGAAGGTGGTTACCATGGAGGTAGCGAACATGGCGAGAAGGGCGAAAAAGGACATAAATTCGAAGAGAAAGGAAGCTACAATAAAGGTCACAGCACCAAAGGAGAACACAACGAACACAAATTGGATGAGTTCAAGAAAGAGAAACACTTCTTCGACGAGGATCATGACGAAGGTTACCATGAGAAACACGGAGGATTCCACGAGGAACATGGACACAAAAAGGGAGGCAGCCACAAAGGTGGACATCACAAAGGTGGATACGACAAAGGTGAGCACGGCAAGAAGGGTCATCACGAGAAAGGAGGACACTACTCAGACAATAAGGGACACAAAGGCGCCGGTGGCCACGATGAACACTACTCCCACCACGAGGATTACGGCAAGAAGGGTGGACACAAGGACCACAAGGAATGGGGTTTCAAGAAAGGAGGCCATTAATTTTCTTGCACCTGTCGTTGACAAGTTGTTGATAGTTTTTTTCCTTTTGCTATTTTTCGAATGATCGACATACCGATGTACGATCTTTTTTAAATTCGCACATTCTACTTTCATTGGTGATTCAGTTGTTATTCTTATAAAATACTAACCTTTCATTCTCATTGTTGTGTTCATTTACTAACTGTTGATTTTTACTATTGTGATGTTTTTTTTAATATTATACGAAAATATATTTTTGTTTGTTTTGTGATTCTTCAAATAAGATTCAGAAATCATAATTGTTCATGTGAGTGTTAATAAAAATTATTACCTAATTTAGTTACTTTTATTTATTATACTTTTATAAAACGTATATTTCATTTTCAGGATTCGTACCCGAAAAGTTCAAATCGGAACCCTTATGTTGCGGTTACTTAGTTCATCCGTAATGGCTTCTTTGTCTCTCAAGGAATTTAGGCATTAGATGTTAAACTTTTGCGCAAAACATGTAAATCGATAGCCTAAAATCCAGTATCGTATTTAATACTTATAGAACGATATTTGGATAGGCTGTTTACATGCAAATTGTACAATGAGTATTCTGGGCGAAATCAACGATTTCAAAGCATATTACTATATATGGCTTCAATCTAATTAAGATTTGCGTGAATTAAAATTCGCGCGTAAATCTTTCAATTCGTTATATATATATATATATATATATATATATATATATATATATATTTAATGTGTATATATAAACATATGTAGGTATTTAAATATCAATTATAAAAAGGTATACATAAAAATACGTACTGGTATCAACGATAAGATAAATCTAAATTTCTCTTCAGTCAAACTGATTATTACTTTTTTTAACTTGTTTAGATCAGAGGTATTGTTATAGACAATTATAAAATAATTAATAATTATAATAAAAGCCGTATGGTCTTTGAGACAATGATATTTATAGTAAAAAAATGTTTTATGAAACATGTCAAAAAAATGTTTTAACAGTTAATTAGAAGAACCAACGATATTTGAATTCCCTAAATGAATTCAAAATTGTGGGATAAAACGTGGAGGAAAAGTTTTACACTTTTTTGCCAATTACAAAGAAATTTCCCGGCCAATCATCGAGATACATCGAATAAATTAAATTTTTGAAATTGGTCTAGTCTTTTTTGAGAAAATCTACACATACACACAGCCATACAAACACATACACACACACTTTTTCTAAATTTGGTCTCATTCGATTCAGAATAGCTTGAAACTTTGAGAAAACATAAAATTAGCAACTTGGATTTTGTCGCAAAATCATAAACTTCTGCTTCGGGAAGTTTCATAAAAATGTGATAAAATTGAATTCATTTATAACTAGTGGTGTATGGCATCGTGCCTTAAGGCAAATTGCTGGAACTTTCCGTATCGTAATGAAATATTCGACGAATATTAAATGTTTTCAAATAGCTTAATATAAATGCTGTAACTTATATATATTTACAGAAAAGTAAGTAAACAAAACTCGATCAATCAAATTCAAAATAAAAGATATTGTCTAATATTTATAAGAATTATATAAACTAAATTGCAAAGTTAAAATTATTTATTTGAAGAATATAAGGTATATAAAATACGAATTAGTTTCGATATTCAAAAAAAATTGATTGAAAATTGAATATGATTTTTTTCCTCAAAAGCAATCGTTTTGTCATCACAGCAGAAAGTTGTTTGAATCATTCAAATCGGATGCTTAGTTTTTTCAAAAACTGCCATTTTGCTCGGTATCTCCGAAACGACTGAACCTTTCTCTGCTAAAAACGGATCACCACTTCTCGCCATCATTACGAATTAAATGTTTTTTGGATCACTCAAATCGGCTCCATTCTTTCAAAAACTATGTCGCTCCATTCTCTGCACTCTTTGCACCGTATCTCCGAGACGGCTGGACCTGCCTTTGCCAAAAACTAATCAGCAGGTTTCTATCGATAGGAATCAAATGTTTTTTGAACTATTCAAATCGGTTGATCCGTGCGTGGACAAAAAAATGCGGACACGCAAAACACATACACACACATCTATTTTATCTGGGGTATGCCAAAATGTTCAAAAACCTTAAAAACGTGAAGAAATGCAAAAACGTTCAGTTTAGATTTTTGGTCTATTTTTATAACTTGCCCTATGTAAATTTTAAAAATAATAATGATACTAATAAGTTCAAATAGTCCCATAATGTAAAACAACGTAATATAAGAATTGTTTTGTTATTTAATTCAATTCAATTCCCTCGCCACTAATTTAACCATAAATTCCACTCTACAAAACAAAAGATTTGATATTAAATTTATTACGAAATATTTCAACTCCGTAATATGAGTAATCTCGATCGATTCTAAACCGCAAAATAAACCGGCCGCCGCTTTGCAGTAGATTGCGAGAAGCAAAATCAGGTCGAACGACCTGCAATCATCGTCAATGGGCAAATCGAAATATTAGACATCGGGAAAAAATATATAAAATGCAAGAATTCTCAAATAGTCCCATAATGTAAAACAACGTAATATAAGAATTGTTTTGTTATTTAATTCAATTCAATTCCCTCGCCACTAATTTAACCATAAATTCCACTCTACAAAACAAAAGATTTGATATTAAATTTATTACGAAATATTTCAACTCCGTAATATGAGTAATCTCGATCGATTCTAAACCGCAAAATAAACCGGCCGCCGCTTTGCAGTAGATTGCGAGAAGCAAAATCAGGTCGAACGACCTGCAATCATCGTCAATGGGCAAATCGAAATATTAGACATCGGGAAAAAATATATAAAATGCAAGAATTTCCGTGTACGAGATCATTGCAGAAAATGTTCGGGACCGTATTAAGATGATATAGAAGTAAACGGGGCAAACAGAAAGTGGTGAACGAGATTGGAGTTTGTGTTCTTTATGACGAATTATTTTTTATGTGTTAACTATATAATAAGAATTTGTTGTGAAGTTTTCTTTATTCAAACCCAACATGAAAACGTGAACTAAGAAAGAGAATATAGATATACTCAGATATACTCTTTTAGGACTTTGATGAAACTTCTCATGGTGATAGAGTTGATAGTCAAACCGAGGGGTCTAAAAATTCAGTAGCAATTTGTTACAGTCATAATGAATGTACTTTTTGAATATTAGTCGAATCAGAGCAACTTCGTTTTTTACCCGAAAAATTTGTCAATACTCCCTCGTTGCGAGAATTGTCGATTTTATCACATACCTATAAAATAAAAACTAGTAGTCGGAGGGGCACGATGCCATATACCACTAGTTAATTATTTCATTCTAAGCGGTTTGGCTACATTTGTTCTAAATTCCTGTACTATATTATTAGATTGTGAACTAAAAGCGTGAAATACAAAGATCAAAAATGTTTAAATTCTTTGGATTATGCTATAAGCATAAAGAATCAACTTTACTGGAATACATGTTTGTATTTTCTATCATTTAGCTCATGCTTCATCTCAAATACTGGCTATTATATTCTAATCTGAATTAAAGTATTTACTTAAAATTCAGCAAAAAAATTGATTTTTTTGAAGTAAAACTTCTTTAAACTCGACTAGCTTCTTTAAGCTGTAAATCCGTACAAATGCAACGGAAGTGCGTTACGGCAGAGTCAAGTGCCAATGATTCGTCAATCGCTCTCGATGATATCATTTATATACGGGTCGATTGTGATTAGTCGTCGTGAATGTGAATAGAGATGTTGTATGCGTACCAATATTAACAAGAAAATCGTCATAGATAAACATTTTGAAGTGACATCGTAGTACAAATCTTGATTCAATGAAAAATGCCTGAATCTTTTACCCTGTTCCTTGAAAATAATAAAACAAGCAAGTTTATTGATTAGAAATTATTTCTATATTATTCGTAGTTTCTATAAATCTTTGAAGTTATTAAAATGAAAAATATTTTCCATTATTAGGCAAGACAGATATTACAGCTGTTCAAAGAATGAGATTATATCGCCAGCGGAAAAGTAAAAAAATACAAGCAGTCAATGAATTAACTGCAGTTAATTTTGATTACATGAAGTTCTTTAAACTGAATTACATGATGAGTGAAGTTACAAAAACAATATTTGTTCCAATCCACTGTGTGAACAAATATTAAAGAATTTATTAATCAGCAATTACTTCATTTCTCTAATGAAGGTTCATTTCTAAATGCTAATTACAATGACAAACCGATCATGTCATATTTGAAGTATGACATTAATTATATTATTGTTTTTATATATTATACATATTTTTAATGCTATTATAAATATATAATTCATAATTTATCATTTTATAAATGTGTATAATGGTTGACACTGAGAAATATGTACATCACAAGTGTTACCATATTACTAATAAATATTAATTAAAATTGTTATATGATGTATTTATTTTTACTTAACTTGAAATTGCGCACTCTTTTCTGAAATTCTGATTCTGAATCTGAAACAATTAAAAATATGGTAAACTTAATAACAATTTTATCATAAATATAAGTATTTAAATGATTTCAGACTTATTTTAACTCAAAATGAAGTAGGTATACAAGGGTTATCGATAACTCGAACGCGATGCAGATTGTAGGCACGTAGCTTTTAAGCCGCCCATTGGAATTTTAAGACTAGAAACAATTTCGAGAAAAATCACGTACAGCAATAAAAAAAATCAAGACACAATACGTTTCTATTGGCGCGGGAATAACATCGTCACTGTTTCTTGCATAATAAGGAGCCGAAAACAAGATTGCAAATTTACTGTTCACATTCGCGCTTTGTGATTTTTTCTTGGGCTGTTCGATTTCGATATCTTCGGCGATATTTCCGAATTTTACATTTTTGTAGTAGTTATGATTTTTGTTTTGTTTTTGTCATTAAATATAAAAACTCTTTGTGATGAGCTCTGATAAAATTACAAAATTTTGGGAAATAATCTGAAAGTTTTTGAAGTATGTTGTTAGAAAAGAAT